CTCCGTCCATGTGAATGATGAAGTGAGCAGACGAGTGAGCATTTCTCTCCCTCAGATCTTACAAGCTGGCAGGCTTACTTAGGGATGCTAAACATAGCTTTAATTTTCCTCTATGTCTAGACTGGGTTCTCAGTACTTTCTGCTGCGGTTTCTGTTCACTCAGGGAAGGTTGTATCCTAATTCTCATGCCTCTGAGCCAGCCGGAAGTTTGTTTAGCCTGTAGTATAGTGAAGTACCTGTGAAACTCCCCCAGCGCGCAGTTCTGGTTGACCTTTTTAGCTGATTTTTGAGCATGGATGACTGATCAAGTACTCTTGTCGGGGACCTGAGATCATGTTTCAGCTTTGAGAAAAATATTAGCAGTGCACTTTGTGTAGGACTTCGAGGGGATTACTTGATTTCTTCCTATTGGTCCGCCCCTCCTATTTGTCTCTCACTTGTACTTTTTCTCCAAGATTGATTTTTTTTTTTTTTCCCAGATTCTTTTGAGGATCGAGTACAAACTATGGGGACCAGTGCATATGTTTCAGCTATGATTATATTATCACTGTACTTTTTGCAGAATGTCAAGTTCTTGATTACCTACCTTCTTCCTACTCATCTCCAGTGGTGGTGCGTGATTATAGTATTAGATTGTTACTGGTGCATTAATCGGCATCTAGCATTTTACTGTTGTAACTGGTTGAGGTAAAGCTAGTTTCAACTACTTTGTGTAAAGTTGAGTAGCTTAGTCCAGTGGTTCCCAACCTAACGGTCGGCCTTCATCGAAAGGGTCACAAGATAAATCTGGCTAAGAAGGAAAGAGCATAGTTCTGCTATACAAATCTGTATTCATTGTTAGGACTTTAGGACTCAAACCTCTGCTTTTTCTGTGGAATATTTGATTATTTGAATTTTTGGGGGCCTCAAAAAGTTGTGAAACCGTGTGAAAAGTTTAGTAGAGAAATACTTCTTTGGGGCCCAAACTGGACACTGCTTTTTTTTGTGAGGGGGTCACAAGCAAAAATGATTGGGAATCCATCCATCCATCCATCGTCAACCGCTTATCCTGCGTACAGGGTCGCGGGTGATTGGGAATCATAGGTTTTAAATGTTAAGTAATATGATAAGCTATAAAACAACACTTTGTTATCATATCTTTTTTTCTTAATCAGTAAAGTAGCCAGCAACAGCTGTCAGGTAAATGTAGTGGAGTAAAGTACAATATCTGCTGAAGTACCTCAATATTTTACAGTAAAGAGTACTACTACAGTAAATTTTAGTTACTTTCCAACACAGTGTTTTTCTTTGACATTGTACCCTTTTCATTTATAGTTACAGGTGTATTGTATAAAGCTGAAATCTTATAAACCGCTACTCGCCAAACTCATACTTGCTTTTCTTTCTCAGGCATTGAAATTGTTAAGAACCTTCAGACTTTCCTTTTTCAACCATCAGAGTACAAAGTCTTATGGCTGAAGAAGGAGCATTTGAACTTTATTAACAATTCCTCTGAGTTACCGCAGCCTTCGTCTTGATGTGATAACTAACGTCTTTGTGTCTTGATCTCAAATTTAATCATGAGTGAGAAGATCAAAATGTCAACTTGCATCGACGTCACCCCCGATGAGCTTAATGAACAGACGCTCTCGAAATTCCCATCCAATCTCAATGAAACTGGTATGAATGAAAGCTTACGTTTCCAGCGTGGCGCTCTTCTTTTTTAAATGTTTGCAGGACTGAATGCTGTCTCAAATTGCTTGCACAATATCTCCTTACACGGGAGCTCTGCCACTTCAAATTCTATAGCCAGTTCAAGTCTGTGAAGAAAACAGCATTTCCTCACTGAAGTGTTAAGTTTTTAGCAACATCACAAAGTCCAGAGAAGAAACAAATGTATATTAGAACAGTCGCAGAGCAAGAAGTATTTATCCTGTCTTTGGTGTCCGAGGTTGTAGTTGTTGTTTTTTTTTGTTAGTTTTTTTTTTTTATTGGGTTGGGAAGGATATGTCATGTTTTTTAAGAGCCAGTTTGCCTGTGGGTGCACTTTTGTTGTCGTCAGGCAAGTCCCTGCACTGCAGCGCAGGCCTGCCCGAGTGGAGATTCTTTAGGAGGGAGATCTCTTTCTTCTCAAAGCGTCTTACCAAGAGCTATTAATTATTAACGGGGAGAGCTAACATCAAAGGAGCAGACTTGTGCTGAATTAAATGGGGCTGGAGCCTGGCAGCGTGGAGCTGAGAGAAAACTGGGTGAGAGGGAAAAGCCGAGCGAGATTTTGCTCTGCTTGCTTTTGAACTTTCCAAGTACAAAAAAGTGAAAGAAGAAAGAAAAGAGCGATGTTAGTTTATGTAAAGGAGGCAGGACGAAAGAACCCTGAAAGAGCGTGCATTTATAGCCCGTCACTGTTTTTTATGTTTCAGTGTTTGACAAGGCTTTCATACACTGCTGAGAAAGATCAAATCAGTTTGCGGAGTTAATTAGTCTTCAATGGGCTATGAAAGCCAGATTCATAAACATCTTATATCTGTGGATTAAACCAATGGGAAAGCTAATTGAGACATAGCTCGAACACTCTTGAGGTGACTCATGACGTGTTTAAATCTTCCTGAAGCTGACACACAAAGCTGGATTCAGAGTGTGGTACATATGCCACCCCTTTGAAATTATTATTATAAGGCCTTTTGTTAGTTCTGTTTTCCTCTTGCTGTGACTTGTCCATGCAGTAGTAATCCCACTGCAGTAAAGAAGACCCGGGCAGGCCTGCATGTGTGTTGCTAGTTCTAAAAATCAAATGTATTCTATATTTAGTGTCATTATTGAGTGACAGTTATTGGAGAATGCACATACCTCCGGTTGTCTTTCTTGCTTTGAAGGAAAAAGAAGAAGACTGCTTTTAAACAATAGAAGGCTGCCGGGTATATTGACTGGAAACGTTGTAAAGTTGAACCCAAACCTACCTTAGATACACACGCTACTCTATTGGACAGCTATATTTAATCATTAACCTCTTTCTGAAGACTCATAGTACACACAGGGAGTAGGGAAAATAATGTCATAACCCTGCGGAAAAGGAAATCTAAGATAATGTCCCAATTACAGTTAGAAAAATGGATCAGATTACATTGCATGCCTCTTATCATTCATCAGCTATACAAGAGTTTAGAACATCAGCACTCTGATTTGAGGTTTAACGCAGCAGGAAACAACTAACAGAGCTGCAACATGTCAGAAGCATCTGTGCCCTAACTGCAGGTGATACAGTAAACAGTGTGTTTAAAAAAAAGAGGAATAATGGTTACAGGAAGTGCTGAAACGATTAGTCGGTTGACAGAAAAATAATTGGTAACACTTGTGAGGATGTCGTTTAAATATCAAAACATTTTATTGTTATACGGTTATGAACGCTTTGGTGTCAGCCTCACTTTGAGCTTACAGGACTGCTGGTGGCCATTTTTCACCATTTTCTGACATTTTGTAGGCCCAAACATTAACCAGGTGAGGACAGGTTAATGAATAATTAAGATAATCGTTAGTTGTAATTGAGGGCAGCAACTAAGTAACAAGGTTATGACGAGGAAGGAAAGTAGAAGCTTTCATGGAGAATGAGGAGTCACTGAATGGCTCAGTAAGTATGAAAACAGTGTCTATATGCTGTGGCCTTCACAGCCGCCAGACCCATTTGAACACCTGTGGGAACATTTCTGAGATGACAAATTTCGGACTGACATGCTGGACAGCCCTCGCTGCCACTATCATCAAAATACCAATAACATTTGGGCGAATGCTGTTCATCCCTCCAGTAGAGTTCCTCAGACTTCTGTTCTGGTGGCTGGTGGCAGTATATAGTACATCATATGTTGACGTGTTTGTAGTGGTGATTTGGTCAGTTGAAACTCAATTTCTCGTTCCTCTTCGGGCAAAAGATGCAGAAACGTGTTTAGTATCCCATTGTGGAGAGTTGTCGTCTCCAAAATCAACATGATGTGTTGTGAAAAGAGCAATTGCGCCTCCTCTGCACATACCACTTCACTTCTCCTCTCTGTTTGTGTCCTCTGTAAGTGCCTGCTGACTGGAGCGGTGACACTGTCCAGCAACTCGGCAGCAGAGTCACAGCACTGTACATTGTCACTTTGATCTTCACCCCCCCCCCCCTCCCTCCAGTTATGAAGAGCGCTGGCAAGAACCCAAGGGCATTTGATAATACTAGGATATGATCCCAGCTGCGCTATTTTAGATCATGTAGTGCTGACATCAAAACGTTGTCTAAATAGGGCACCGTGAATCAAGCGGGGTGAGAACGGGTTGTAAGGGAAAAACAGGAGTTAAGATAAAGGAATTTTTTTTTTTTTTTTTTTTTTTTTTTTTTCAGACGAGGGGAAACCAATTTGGATTCTGCAAAAAGATACTTGGGGTTCTGCGGATCCAAGCATTTCCTTTATCTTTTGCCTTTAGCAGAAGTCTTCAAAAGACCCCTGTGCTGTGACTTTCCCTTCTCTCAGATGAAAGGCGCTCGCATTTTTAGCAGTTGGAAATCCTTGATAACTTTATTCAACTTTTCCTGAGCGTGCACAGCAGAATTCAATTCAAATTCAGCTCCATGCCATGCAGAGTTGCATCAGATGGAGCTATGCATGGATTAGTTCTTGACACGGGGATGAAACTGTCTTAGTTTCTGTCATACTTGTAGCGTAGTGTTGTGCAGATTCACTTAGTGACATCATGAAGACCAGCGAAATGGAGACACAGAACCCATGTGCGTCCTAGCAAATGTTATCAATGGCTTGTTTACCTCTGGCCTGCAGGTATCTGTCTCTTTTCTTTCTCATTTGCTCATTCCAGATGATCTGCACAGGGTTTCACTCAGGCAGAGAACTCCCTCTAGTGGCGTGAATCTGAATGTGGAAACTTGAATCTTACAGAAGCTGTCAGTGCAGCTGTTAAAGTGACCATACCATACCCTGACTTTTTCTTTGCACTGTTGTTAAATACATCTAATGATTAATTTTTTTCTGTGTTTGCAGGCGAAGAGAGCAGTGCAGCGTGGAGCCACAGCCGTCATCTTTGATGTGTCAGAGAATCCGGATGCCATCGACCAGGTTTGTACACACCTAAAATTACCCAGGCATTTGCACACTCACGTTTCAACAACACTGAACCGCTCTAATCTGTCTCGGTCTGTCTGTGAAAGACGCTCCACTTTTCACTTCTGAAGAAAGCTTAGCAGCATGCCCGGCCCTCCTGACTGGCTGTGTTTGTGTGCTGTTTGTACAAACAATGATCGGTCTATCTTTAGTCCTGTTGAAAAGCATGTGGATCAGCTTTGCTCATTCAACCATTCTGGGCCTTTTGAGCTCTCCAACTTGTGTTTGGAGGAGTGCACCGCTCGCTGAGAGGACTGAAAATGGATATCCAAGTTCAGCTTTCACTAGACCATGACCAAACTCTGTTGAGCTCATAATTGCACAGGTAGCGCGCATTACCTCATCCCCTGAGACTATAGATCTGTCTTTGAGTGCACATTTGTGGGAGCACACATTAGGCTACAGTAAGAACAAAGTGTATTGCTTGTCTCCCACACCCAGACACTCACATTCCTCCTTCCTCCACTCTTGCTCCTGTGTCTGTGCTGTTGAGAGGTATAATACACGAGTTGCTCCTCTGAGCGCCTTTGTCGCAAGAATTCTCCTGTGGTATTCATCCTCGCCATGCCAGGCCTGGACTTGCAGGTTTTTTTTCTTCCTCCCTCCTCTGCCGCTGGGCCGTAAAGCGCGTAGCTGAGAGATAAAAGGGATTGCGCAGAGACCACATGAAAGGCAGCGCTGTGCGGCTGTGTTAAATTCCCCCGAGAGGCTTTTCCAGTCAAAGCGGCCCGATCAGCAGAGACAGGACCCACAAGGCCGAGGGGCAGGGAGGAGGAGCTTAGGGAGAATTAAGGTCCCAGGGCCAAAATTAGGAGAGAAGCTTCATGAAGTTAATGTACTTGACTTCCTTTTTATCTCAATTTATACTGTATGTGAGGCCAAGTCCTGCTTGTAGCTGAAACACTTTTTTGTTTTGGGGAAAGTAAATCATGATTAACTTTCTTTCAACAGTAATACCCAAGTTTTTTTTTTACCTCTTTAAAGTTTATTATCTGACTTATAGGTTTACTTAATGGTGCATTATTTGTCAGAGGCCAAAGTAAAGTCACTTCCCAAAGCGGGAGCAACACACCAGATTCAAGCAGGGATGAAAAGTTTCAAAGTCTATACTTTTAAACCAGAACATACAGTATTTCACTGGGGAACATGACGACGGCAGAAGAAATAGAAACGCGAATATCCTCGGTATTTCCCGTGGGCTTTTTCAAATTACAGATTCCAACCAGCAGACCAGAGGGAGAACAGAGAGGAGGAGTAAAGGAGTAGTATGTCAACTGACTCAAAAGCCAGAACATACTATTCATTGACTATTTCCCCCCTGCTCCCTCAGGGAAACTGCAACCATAGTTTCCATGTCTTGAGCCTATAGGTCCTTTCCCCTAGTTGGTAGAAAGAGCTCAGGCCTTTTACATTCAGACAGCTGACATGAATTAGTCCTCCAAATCTTTTTCTTAATGTCCCCTAAAATATTTAGATTTTCATATTGTTACATTTGCAGCAACAACTTGCACTCTGAGTCCTGTGTATAATTACTACTGCATGGCTGACACCATTGAGTATTTTCTCCAGAATTTAAAAAAATAGGATGGAAAAAACATCTGAAACAACATTAAGGCAATCATGGCACACTACAGTGAGGAGAGGTTTTTATGTTTTAGCTCAGAGAAAAACCTGTGCCATATATTTGTAGATAACATGGCAGCTTCTGAATGTTGAAGGGGTACTCCGGTGTTTCAATATAGCCCTTCCATAAAGTTCGGGTACACACAAGAGACAAATAAAAAATAAAAAAACCAAGATCAAAATTGGAGCAGCACAGGTGGCGATATTCTGACTTTTAATCTCTAGTAAGTGATGCTTGGAAAAACACTTTTCCATTTCCCATAATGCCACAGAAGACATTACAGCCGTTTACACAGGCTGACTCATGACGATTAATTGAACCTCATGCGTAAAATCAGTAGAGAAACCCTTTAACAAAAGGCTATTATGGACCAGATAAGTAAGTTCATTATTGTTATGTATTAGTTTATCTGTGTTTGATGTATTTTCTCTCACCTCTCCGCAGCTCAACCAGGTTGCAGAGGATCCTCTGAAACGGCCGGTGGTTTACGTGAAGGGCAATGACGCTGTGAAGTTGATGAACATCGTCAACAAGCAGAAAGTTGCTCGCGCTCGAATTCAACACCGACCACCGAGGGTAAGAGCACATGCCAAAACCCCAAACCACTTAATGTAGATGACGTGCATGTGTGTGTGAGACTAATATAAGGCACATGTGAGGAACATGAAGAAGAGGTGAGCATGTTTGCGAGGCCCACGCACCAAACAGCATTGAGAAGTTTTTACACGTGAGGGCCAACATAAATTCCAGCTGTGAAATCGGACCCTTTCCCTTTCTTCTCTGCTCTCCGCTGCCCCGAGGCAGAGGACTTTTTCGCAGCACTGTGAGAGATTAATATCAGTATTCAAAGAGCTGTTTGTTTGCTTGGAATATTTGATAAGAGACCAGCACACTTTGAGGTCAGAGAACTTGACATAATGAAAGCCCGAGAGAAAGGACTGTCTGATAAGAGACATTTTTCTGCTGAAGAATAAAACAATGTGGCCCTTCTCAGTGAATTTTAAACAGTTTTTTCGGTGGTGAATTTATCAGAAAGTGTCAACCTCTTAAGTTAGTCGACTTCTACCTCCATAAAAAGTGTAGATCAGCTCTTTTTCTTGTCGTGAACTCAGTAGCTTTGCAAGTATTTCAATTGTCATCATCAGTTAATCTGCTGAATATTTTCTTGATTAATCGTTTAGTTTGTGTAATGTCAAAAAATGCTTATCAAGTTCTTCCATAACCCAAAGTGATGTTTGTATTTTCCATCCAACGGTCCAAAACCCAAACATAAATACATTTACAATGATACAAAACAAAGAAAAAAAGTAAATCCTCACATTTAAGAAACTGGAACTGCTTAATGTTTAGCATGTTTGAATGAAAAATGAATCTAATCTAATACTTGGTTAACCGACTGAACGGTTCCGCTGTACTCTGCAGAAATGGTCTCTTTTATGTAAGAGATGTAGCACTTACCTGAGTAAATTACTGACACACTGTCATGAATTGGCACAATAATGGAATTATTCTGAGGCTGAAATGAATTGACTTGCATGACTAAACAACCATGTATTTATTCAGGAAAGCACCGTCGAATTATGTGTGAAGGACTCATTTTTCTTTCCATAATGAAGAGTCGAATGAGTCACATCATTGCTCTGGTGTGCTGAGCAACTAGTTATAATCAAATATCCTCAACTGTCTGTGAATGGAGAGTTTTCAGGCCAAATAACCCTTTTAGTGTAACCCCTCTTTAACCAGCTGCATGTGAAGATTATTTGACAAATTTGTGTTTCTGTTGACCTCCTTTTCCACAGCAGCCCACAGAATATTTTGACATGGGCATCTTCCTGGCTTTCTTCGTGGTTGTGTCGCTGGTTTGCCTCATTCTGCTCATCAAGATCAAACTCAAGCAAAGGAGAAGCCAGGTTAGTGTCTGAATACACACAGATCACCACTAGAGCAGAAGTGTGAATAGAAACAACTCGAGAAACTTTTTTCATTATCTCAGTTTGAGTCACATAGGACCGAAGCCTGTGCCGTGCCTTGTTTTTACCAATCAACACGACATCACGTGGAGTTGCAGGCGTTGAGTCAGGCGACGGTAGCTCTGCTGCTGATCCACTTGTGTGTTGACAAAAAGCAGTTTCAGTGGAGGCTTACGTCAGGAAAAGCATTTAATTAACGCTGATGAGAGTATGGCTTCTGGAGCCAAACGCACATAAATGTCATAACAGATGAGAAAACCTGTAGCGGCAACCGTTTGAACAGTGTGTGTGTGTGTGTGTGTGTGTGTGTGTGTGTGTGTGTGTCACAGCAGCGGATGACTTGGTCGTGACTTCCTTTGGTGGTTAATTAACAGCTCACACCAGGGGCAACTTTGGCACATTTTAACAACCTTTCCTTCCCAAAATGTGAAAAATTAATGAACTGCTGGTGGAGTAAATATCGTTTACCCTATTTTTTTTATCCAATTTGGGTTTGCCCTCAAAAGACTACAGATAACTACTAAAAGAACTAAAAACACTGTGAAAACCCTATGATGGCAGTGACTTTTATAGCAAAGTTCATTGCTCTCTTGCAGACCAGGATGTCCACATGTCCTTAAAACTGCAGGCTGATCTAATTATGAGGCAGCATAAAGGAAGAATCACTCTCTGGAGACCCTAGTTTAACTCATACAACAACTTTGTACATGAGTGACGCACTAGCAATTCAGGCAGTGATTGCTATAAACCACTATGTTTGCTACACATGTGACTCATTAAGTTTAATCCGAATAGTAGAGTAGTTCTGTATGTGTCAACTTATCAGTCACCTTTTTAAATAACAATTTAAAGGCAACATGAAGCAAATTAGAGATAGAAAGAGACCAGAGTCAGAGCTAGAGAGAGTTGCTAATGCATCAGTCAAAATTGCAAAAATATGTACTGTGTCAAGGGGGAAAGTCTTAAATTATGACATCAACCCTCTCACACTTAGACCAGCAAAGAGGAACCCAGTTCCAAAGTAAACTCTGAGCCTTTAACAGGATGTTTGCTTAAAAACATCATTGCTAAGTTAGCTTTTTCATTTTAATGTGTTATTTTGGCTCCCATTCTACAGAGCTTTAAAAGTTAAATGTTGCTCATCAAACGTGCAGATGTTCCCGCTGAACCTGTCCCCCTCCTTCCTCTCCACTACAGAGCTCCATGAATAGAATGGCCATCCAAGCCTTGGAAAAGATGGAGACAAGAAAGTTCAAGGCCAAAGGAAAGGGCCAGCGCGAGAGCAGCTGTGGAACCTCCGATTCACTGAGCAGCAGCTCCACCTCGGACTGTGCCATCTGTCTGGAGAAGTACATTGATGGGGAGGTAAGAAAAGACGCTTGCTCTTTTTAATTTGAATTTTTAAAATTGCACTGTGCCTTTTTAAAATCTATATATTTTTAATCACTATTTGTGAAAACATTATAAAAAAAGAGAGTCTTGATACGAATGCACTATCGGGGGAGCGTTCTGAGTAACAAGCACCTGACACAAAAAGGTTCAACTCAGAAGTAACAAACCTCATCTGCTGTTGGTGAACGCTGACTTGTAGTAATACATGTACAAAAGTGGACAATGTGGCAGCCAAACCTTTTAACTCTGGCAGTGTTAGTGTGATTACCCACTGAGCTTGTTTTCTTTCCATTACATATTCTGCAGACATGAAACATAATGCAATTTTGTGGACAATAGAATGGAAGTTCCCCTGATGTGCTCGCGGACTGCAGTCCTGCGATCTTCGGTGCCTTTATTTCCGGCGCACTTTTAGATGTTTAGTTCACTCTTTCAGAGCACCTGGAGAGATAACGGTACCCAGACTGCAGTGGGTTGTGATTATGCTTCCTGTTTTCCCAGTGTGGCCTTCTTTAATCCTTAAAAAAGGAGTCATTGTCAAAATATGTATCCTAATCTTGGACTTTGAAGATTTACTGTAACACCATGGCTCATCCTCAGCATGGATGCTGGAGGGACAAACCCTAGGGCCAGGGTGACATGGTTGGTGTATGTGGTGTTTTTTTGTGGTTATGTGTCTCTTTGGTAAAGAGAAGAAAACACAATAAAGCATGGCGCCAGGATTGCACAGAGGAAGTGGTGATATAAAAGGCTGAATGGCATCAAAGACGTTTTTTGAGCAGTGAACCGAGCAACAAAAGCTAGAGTGGAAATGAGCCCAAAGATGAGTCACATTAAGCCACAGACTAAAGTATTTATGGCAGCCAAAGACCTCTCACTTGAAGAAAAAAAAATTACAATCCATATTCACAGTGCTCCTGCTTTTGTGTCTTGGAATTCTCTCCATCTGAATACAAAGTGCTGCATTTTTCTCATATCAATCCTCAAGTGTAAGCCTCTTGTTTGCTTTGTCCCAGAAAGTGGTGACAGTAAGCATCTAAATTATATGTGTACTGTGGCGTGGCATCTAGTTAACAGTTTTGTTTTGTGGTGTGATATAAAGTTGGCTCCTCAGTTAAAAAGTTGATTAGACTGCAACTATCACCGCAATTGACAGTTCTGTATAGATTTGCTGCCACCTTCTGGACATTCAGCCGCTCTCAACCACACATTTACTCACCCTCTGAGGAATAAAACCCTGTTGTGTACATAATTGATATGGCAACTTTGTAAGTAGTCTTTTGTTGACCTAAAAATTAGACCCATTTTAGTGGACCCATTCCACTAATTCACCTACATAACATGCAGCTACCTCTGTAAATGTGATTTACAGTAAGTAGTTTGTGCCTGAAATGCTAGTGCAAGCCCTGAAACATAGCTTAACCGTTGCACAAAAATAATGCAGGATTACTGTTCTTTATTACCTTTTACATTAAATCCATAAAAGTCGTTTAACGTCCTACCAGGCAGGACCAAATATCCTAAAATTAATAAATAAGTAAGGTAAGCGCAGGTTTTCTTTTGAGTGCTTTCCCTACTTGTTTGAGAATTAGATGTTTGTTTTTGTCCACCTGCTGTAAGGTATACTTAATTTCAATTAAGTTAGAACACCTGTTGTGTTTTTCCCTACAGGAGCTGCGGGTTATCCCCTGTGCTCACAGATTTCATAAGAAATGCGTCGACCCATGGCTGCTCCAGCATCACACCTGTCCCCACTGTCGACACAACATCATTGGTGAGTTGATGCACCCCATCTAGACTATTTAGCTTTCTTATTTACATAAAATACTCAGAACCGAAACACTTCTTTCATTGGAGGAAAAAAATGATCTGTGGTTATAAAAGAGATTGAAAGTTACTTTTCAGTTGTTAGATTCTAAACGTTGCATTATGTATTTGCACAGAGCAAAAGAAGGGAAATCCAGGACCAGCATGTATGGACCCTGGCAACCCAGTCCACGGCCGGCAGCGGGTGGTGCTGCCGGTCCATTATCCGGGTAGGGTGCACCGTGCTGGCCAGGTGACAGCCTACCCAACCAGAACCAGCATGGACCCCCACGGTAACCCAATCACCGTGCTCACTGTGGACCAGCACTCCGATCCTCAAGGTCTCTACCCACCCCAATCAACATCTGCCTTTCTCCGGAGCTACCACCCCACCCTTCATCTGGACCACTCACTCAACCCCCACCACTGTGGACTAGAGCACAGAGGACCCCCCGCCTACCCAGCACAGCCACATCATGCTGCTTTTAAACGACCAAAGTTCCATGGTCGCAACTTTTCGAGAGCGGCCTGCTTCTCGCAGTACGAAACTATGTACCAGCACTACTATTTTCAGGGGTTGACTTTTCCTCAACAGCCCGAGGGGGGCCAAGGGGCCGCTATGGCAGGGCAGCTTGGTGGAGGGGCCCACAAAGGCCACCACAGCAGGGCCTTTCAGCAGGGGCTGTTATACCCCACAGTCGTACACATGGCACCTGCCTCTTCTTCAAGGATAGGTGATACAGGCAGCACTTCTGGCCTTAGCTGTTATCATGGCCACCGCTCAGTGTGCAGTGGTTACCTTGCTGACTGCCCTGGTAGTGACAGCAGCAGCAGCAGCTCAGGCCAGTGCCACTGTTCCTCCAGTGACTCCATGTTGGACTGTACTGAGGTCAGCAACCAAGGGGTGTACGGTAGCTGCTCTACTTTCCGCAGCTCGCTGAGCAGCGACTATGATCCGTACGTCTACCGCAGCAAGAGTCCATGTAGGGGCTCCACAGGTGAAGCAGGGGCTGCGGCTTGCACCACAGTTCCTGCCGAGGACTCATCATCCACTGCTCCCCTGGGACATGACTGCCTCCAGCTCCCTCCTGGAGCTTCGGGGTATAACTCGGGTGACCACCTCTCCAACTGTAGTTTGGAGCCCAACTACAGCAGTCGCTCATCACTGGAACCCAGGGAGAACAGCAACACTAGCACTACCTCAGCCGGGGCTCCAGAGGCTACCGGAGCAGACAGGGGAAAAGGGGAGCAGGAGGAGTCGGGGGAGCTTGGGGCTGCAGCCTGTAGTTGCTGCTTTGAGGTGCTTCCTCCAAATGTGGAGTGCAAAGGGCAAGACTCGGACCAAGCTGGGCCTCTGGCTACAGGACACTTTCACAGGGGAGTGGACTTTCAGAACTCCAAGAACTACTTTGCTCCTGAGCACATGTGCCCTTCCTCAGAGCAGGTGAGCTACGAAGGGCTGCCCTGCTGCTTCTACAAAGAGATGAAGGTCCACAGGGCCACAGCAGGGCGTTACACCGAGGACTACGCTGTCAATGTGCAGTATGCCCATGCAGACTCCGATGCCTGCTCTGGACAGGGCTGCTGCGAACTCAACCAGAGAATACCCATAATTCCTGAGGACACAGATTATGAATTGGGAACAGGGGCAGAGACCCAGAGCAGTTTATTGCCCATCAGTGTCACAGTGGAGGCAGAGGTGCGGACAGGGGAGCGACATGAGCACAGGGAGGGGTACTTCACCTCGGGACAGTTTAGAGGTCAGCCATACCCTCAGGAGGAGGAGACTAGGGCTTTGTTCCAACCTCAGCTCTCTGCAGGTCGCACTGCACTGGGAAGCAGTACTTCAACAAATGAGGGAGGTCTGGGTGTATGAACTTGAGCCCAGAGAGAAGGAACTCAAAAGTATGTATTTGGTACCGTATCAGTCAGTAAGTCAATCATTGAAACCCTCAGCTGCCTTGTTCTAACCTTGCTCTCTGAGCGCTGAATGTTATCATCTTCGATTGTGTGGATTTCTACTGAAATGGCCCGTCATTTCTAGATATACAGTGTATCAAGTTCATTCCTGTGGCCACAAACTTCTCAGCACCAAACTGTGTTACCACAGCACTGAGACAAAGTGATACTACAAATGAGGAGGAAGGTTGTTAAGTGAAACTAGAAGTAGCTTGGTATTGGCATCTATTTGCTGCCATCTAGGGTTAGGCCCCTTCAGCACCAGGTAATCCGGGTCCATGTCTTGTGAGATTTTTTTTTCCAGATTTTGTCAAGAACAGGACATCTAGACTCCGTTTTTTTGTGCAAGATCTAAAAATCATTTTTCTTTACAAAAAAAAAAAAAGTACACTCTTAATTCAAACATCTGCATTTACATGTGCATACATGAACACTGACTGCCTATAAAACTTCAACCACCAACTCAAATAGGTTGTACGGACATAGCTATACCAAAACAGAAAGACATGATTGTTTTGTGTTTTTTTCTTTCAAACTTTTTTTTTCAAGAGCAGGGAAATGGGTCTAAGTGTCTGTGACCCACACATTTCTCTGAGGAGAAGAAGCTATATAATACAGAAAATGCATAAAAATGTGAATGCAAGGCTGACACTGGTCTCTATTCAATTAAATACAGAATTTGTTTTATGCATTGCATTTCTGTCCAGTAGTGGCCTACCTGTATGAGATGTGCCGGAGCAACATGAAAGCCTTATGCTGGTAAGCTATTTGTAGCAATATCTAAAGACACTGCACCACTTTTAGTCAAACTCCAGACTAGAGTGACAGTGTCTCGGGGGTCAGTAGATTTCTTCAAAAGTAGAGTGTAGCACTCTACCTCTTGTTTGGAAGCCCTTAAAGTGTATTTTTGCTGTCACTTACCCAATTTCCTCAATGAGGCGCACGCTCTAATAAATATCTATAAAAAGTTTTAGCATCTATCAAAAGGCCAAAGGAAAGTAGCTGGAAAAAACTCATATTTCACAAGGGTTCCTTATTGTACTGTGACTATTATTATTATTTTTTTTTATAAATGATGCAGTTATACATACCACAGTATCCGTTCGAATCATATCGTGCCATGCATAATTCATACCTGCGATATCGATGCTTGTCATTCATACCTTTCTGTTTGTCCTGCAGACTGTTTTTATACTGTTTCTATGAAATATACACATTCTCTACACAGAGGAAAACTTTCTGAAATAACCCTATTTATAAGTTAACCCAGTGCTGTAATCAAGTGAGAATCTAATCTTGCCTTTTGCATAGAGATATGTACCTACTGCAAATATAACATTTTGGGGTACTTGAGTCACTATTTAATTTTTGTTCTTGTTTCTAGCACTTAAGAAGATTAAAATGTGTACAAAATTAATATTTTTTAATTTTTTAAGAATATAATTATTTTCTGTCATTACCATTACAAATGTTTTTAAAAAAGGCTAGAAATCAATCTGTGTATATTTCTGTACCTGTATAGCAAACACATTTCACAAATGGAAATATGTTCTCTGAATATTTATTTACTAATATATTTATCTTTAAGCCATGTCTTATGTTCAGAGTGTATGAACGTTTGAGTTATTTGGTTGCTTTTTATTTGAGAAAAATCACTAACATGAGACTTTGTATATACATGGTAATTGCACACAAGACGATTAAATCTTCTCTGACCAAAAAACTGATTTTAAAACTTTAGTATCATACAGTTTTGTAATTAAAGTGTACAAAGATCTGTAAAATATACAGTTTTATTCAAGTAACTAGTGGTGTGGTGTCCTCCTTTCCATTATTTGCATATTGACATTTTTACTTTATAAAAGTTAGTAGTTGAAGTAACTGTTGCAAAAGTTGATCTGAGTACAATTACAAGTTTTATTCTTTGCCAAAATGTAGCTGTTACAAAAAATATTCAAATGTTTTATCTCACTTGCCAGTTGTCAAAACATTGATTCCACAGAGACATTTTGGCTTTTAGTGGGGCATTCTTTACACCAATAGTGGTATTAAGTACAGGTTCTATTTTTTTACACTTCAATGGTTGCTGAACAGGGGGGGGGGGGGGGGGGTCAATAAATGTCAACTGACGTCCGATTTTCTTTCATTGTGTAGTGACAACTGCAGAAAACAGCTCTGGGGCTTCATGCCTGAGAACTCTGCAGTTTGTCCCTTTCTTTTTGCTTATTTGCTTTTGTACAGGAGGTGTTGGGAGTGCATCTCACAGCTTGAAACCAGAGTGAAGAGCCACAACTCCGCCAGTGAGGTTGTAGTACCGAACACAGTAGAAACCTGCGTCCTCAATCATTCCTTTAAATTCCTCCTGCAGAAGAAAAAGAGGAAAGGATATGACTTACCAACACTGAATCCACAAAGTGACAATCCTGCACATAGTCAGATTGGACTTAGTTTAGGAACATACAGCGGCAAATAGTGGTGAAACAATTTGATAATTAAAAAAATACAAAAAAACATTGCTTTTTCATTTAAGTTCCAGTTTCTAATTGATTTGCCCTTTTCCTCTGTATAAAATATATATTTAATATCTGATGGTCAGACAAAAACACCTTGGACATTTCTGACTATTAATTATTGATTAAAAACAAGTTGAGAGATTAAATTAGTCATTAGTTGCAGTCACAGTAGGAAAACAGGAAAAATATGACAGAAGTGACATGGTGAATAATTTAAAAATCTGTCAAATCAAACTAGCAATACTTTTTTTTTTTTTTTTAAACATTCCTAACTTGGAGTGAATCATGGGGAGACTAAATAAAATAAAAATATCGTACCTGGCCCGGGAACTTGCGGATGCTTTCTACCAGATACTGGTACGACTTCCAGTCTCCAGCGATCACCTCTCCCAAAACAGGAATCATCTGGAAACTGTATGCGTCATAAAGCCTGAAAAAGGAAACAGGATACAATTTAGCAGGAGCCAAAAGCTACTTTCTCAGAACTGGATGCCTGCTGCCAATCCCTAATTTCTTTCATACATACATAGACACTTAAGTCTATGTTTCTTTCTAATGTATTCTTACACAAGAACGGTTTGTTTGATTAGAGTAAAACAGCACTTCAATGTGTTTACATACATAAACACATCTGCAGTTTAAAGAGGTAGAAATTAGCGAGTGGCCCATTTAAAACGATTACTACTAACATAACATTTTAAAATCTATAAATCCTTAGTGCGCTGCTTTTGAGGCATATGTGGAATCAGTCAGCTAAAAGACTGGCAGCCTCATCAAGCCTCTACAGCAGGGGTAGTTAACCATGCGCCATGGAGCGACAACAGGCTGCAGGTTTTAATTCAAACCTGAATCAACAGGGGATTTCGCTAACAAATTCTTCGTCATCACTTCAAGGAGTGCCACTTCATTACACAACACACCCTCTAACTTCCCAGATTAATGTACTCATTTTAACCCAAACCGTGTAAATGTACTGTACTTATATAGCAGCTTTCTAGTCTTCCAACCACTCAAAGCACTTTTCACTGTATATCATGTTCACCCGTTGGTAAACTGATGGCACAGCCATAGGAAGTATTCTGGGGTTCAGTATCTTGCCCCTACAGACTGCAGGAGCCAGGGCCTGAACCACCGACCTTCTGATTAGTAGACTACTCGGTCTACCTCCTGAACCAATACTGCCACGATCTTTTACCTAAACCTGGCCAAACTGCAACCATTTAAATAATATTACAAAGAGTACAAAGAGACCTGCTCCATATGAAAAGTGTAATGAGATGACTTCTGTTAGGAATAAGATCTATATAAATAAAATTGAACTGAAGTTCCGAGGGCATATCATGCAGTAGACGTGTCCTGTAGTACAGTGCATCCACAGATAGACATGTGCTCTATAGTACTCTACAGTCAGGTCTGTACAAAACCAGAAGAGGGCAGTGTTCAGTTCATCCATTCATTATAGGAAATGTCTCAATTTAGCAGGATCTCCTTTCAAGACAATAACTGTTTTTTTGATTTGGCGAGATGGAAAAACTCAAGTTTGTTCTGTTATGTATTAATGTACCCACAGAGTTTCTACAACAGCTTGGATGAACACTTTGCACAGCTTGTCCATGAGCACAAAGCAACATCTAGGAGCACAAACAAACTGCAGCTATTCAAATGTGTTGTTGGATTTGTGATGGCAGTAATAAGTCTACAGAAACCGTCTGACATTCACAAGGTAGAGTCATGTTCACACCAAGTCATCCTCCGTGAGTGAACCCTCCTCCTCACCTTGCCAGCATGGGATTTGTCACTTTGCTGAACTCTAAGCACATGAACCTGCCACCAGGCTTCAGGACCCGCAGAGCCTCCTGAAGTGCCTAAGAAAGACAAATATTTGTTGGTTACAGCTTGTTAAATCACAAATTTTTGATACTTTATAGTAGAGCTGGGCAAGAAAACAATAATTATCGCAATATAACTCCTCAATATCAATATAACAAATGTTCAATAAAAGGTCTGAATTAATTCATCTGAATCACAAATTCATTAGCACTTAATTTTTCTATTATAATTATTTTGCTAAAAAAAAATACTTAATTTAACTTGTGCATATTTGTTGAAAAAAGATTTTATCATATCGGTCTTGAATGTTTCACCTCATATTTGTGAAATGATCAATTGTTTGTCATGTTCTGACCATAAAGAATACTTTAAACCACAATTAACCACCTGGTTTCTTCAACTTTCAATCAGGACCAAAAATCTGTCTTTGAACTTGAAAGAAATAATGATTTGACATTTATCGTGATAATTATCGATATCAAATGATGTGAAATTGTTTATCGTGATAACATTTTTGGCCATATCTCCCAGCCCTACTTTTACACTGGGAAATGAATCAGTCAGTTAAAAAAATGAATCAACAGTTTAATCAGAAATGAAAATAATCGTCAGTTGCAGAAACTTGCACCCCCCGTCCCTTTCCCAAGCGAGCACTATAGCTACGGTGCCTGAGACAGGACAAAGATGTCATCTATAAGAAAAGAGATTCATGGAATTAGGTTTGTTTAGATAGATGTGTTAAGAAATTATATAAATCCAAATGTTTTTTTTGAATATTATTGTTACTTTTTCATTAATAAACCATAGCCACATGAAGAAATGAAGTGAATGCTACATGATGTCTCGTACTCCTGTAATACATTATTTTACATCTTGGGGAGGGTTGGCTCATCTGGACTAACATACCATAGTAAATGAAGAAATTCTCAAACACTATCACATCTAGTGCATCAAGTATGACCACTGACAGATAACAGGACAATGTAAGCCTCACTGTTTCTGCACCGCAATAAACCACATAATACATGAAGTTTATGAAGGAATTGGCTGGTGAGAATCAAGGCTCCTCCTACTTTGCTTAATTAGATAAGCAATCTGCAAATATTACCAAAATGTCTTTTGAATTGTTTGAAATACAACAGAAACACAAAGTAGTACTGACAGCCATAATTTCAGCTTGTGGTAAAACGGTGCAACGTTTTCAATGGGCATTTAGCATGTGAAAGCACAAATTACATATTTGTGTGCACAGTGGGACGCAATATCCAATAACGTTTTTTAATGCAAATTCGTAAAGTATGTATTATTAGTCACTTGATAGCCACAGGGTCTTGTTATATATCACCATTAGCAGTAAAAATACATGTTTTCCACCAGGGCAGTAAAATGTGAAGTTTAGCTGCTGATCTGAGCTTCCCTGCTGTTACCGTTTCATTACCAATAATATTCATCAGCTGTTTGTATCATGAAGGTAACATTTCTCTCCACAACAAAGCCATAACACAGAGAATAAACCAATCCAACTAACAATAAATGTTTTTCTACCATTCAGTAAAAGTTTAGCTAGCTGATGCTTCCATGCTCTAAGCTAACGTTATGGTTTTATTGCCAATTAACGTTACTGATCAGCTGATTGTCTCGCTAACGTTACCGGAAAAGCCAAACCACAGGCTGGAGAATAAGTAGGCGTCATGAAATTAATCCACATTTCACACCACCGACAGGGGAAACATGTCACGGCTCTCTGTGATTATGGCCAGCTAATAGCTAAAGCTCTCAATCAACAGTTTTCATTTGCAAAGTGAAAAGTCTGACAAAGTTAATTAACGTTACCAGTCCGGCAGCAAACAGACAACTTCAGCTCCGCTTTGAAAACATCCGTCCCACATTAACGCTATATCCATCTGGGAAAATCCAAATGTCACTTCTCTTGTTACTTCTAATATTCTAATAAACCAGAAGACTACTCGGAGACTATTATTAGTCCCTTTTCTTCTTCTTTGTACGTATTCAATGTGATGGCGGCCGTCTACACTCAAGGTGTGTTCGTTGACGGCAACGGTAGGAACATGACGACAAAATACAGCGACCTCCACAGCAGGTGGCGCCCAAGGGGGTGAAGCCGACCAAAGCCCGCATGGAGGGATCCATGTTGGCCCAAAAATGACGTCAAAACCCTGTGACACCCCGTCGCACATGACAGATGTAACCATATTGCTCAGATTATAAACTCTCGGCAACCTAAAAAAACCTATTCGGCCATCAGTGACGCTGCGTTGGTGTTTGACAGGTGAGCCTCGTAGGTGGGCTGATTAATCAGTGACGATCCGAGTCAGACAAACACACTGAGCCATGAAACTTTTTGTTGGCGCAGCTACCAGAATTACGGTGTTTCTGCAGTTGTTCTACGTCATTAAACCACGGTTATACTGCGCGATCATGCGCAGCAGACGCTGGAGCCAACAGGAAGTGGCCCTCTAGTACTATTTTATTGGTCCAAAACTGGCTTCACTGCTCTCCATTCAAAATCAGCGGGGTGGCTTCTTCCAGTAATTTACTGTCTATGAGGGTTCCCGCGGTTATGTAGAAATGTCTCATAACGGTTCATTATGTAAGGTCTTTACACACCACTGAAAACATAATTATGGATTGCATTTCTGTCAATAGATCCTCAGAAATATTACACACTGGACCTTTAAGTGTAATTAATTTAATATGTGAATCAACATATTGCATACATATTTATTATGATTTGCTTTCTTTGCATATTGTTCTTACAAACACCTTTTGTCAAATAGATCACAAATGAATGACACACGTTAACTCTGCTCAGGTCTCACTAAGTGCAAAACAGTCTTATAGGATCACCCGTGCATTAGAGAAACGCTGTCGGGTCAGTTACCTGATCTATATGGGTGACATTTCGAATGCCGAAGGCGATGGTATAAATATCAAACTGGTCGTCATCAAAGGGCAGCTCCTCTGCATCCCCCACGACCCACGACAGACCTGATACACATCAACACACAAAGAAGCACAGACACTCAAGTCAAAATGACAAACTGTCTACTGGTATATTGGTTGATGGTAGTTTTGGTGCACATGGTAAACATGTGACAGCTGTATACCAATTGCTCTGTTACGAAATCCTGCAACAATTACTATGTACTCAGTTCAGGTCAAGCATGGCTGGCACAGAAATCTCACACACTTCCGGTCTGTGTGCTGCACTTTGTTCGATTTGATTTCATGCAGAAAATCATCTGAGAATGTCGACAACTCTACAGCTACACTCTGAGCTCAATAAACACAGCTTATTTCACTGAACATGCACGCTTCCATATTCCACCTTTGATCATATTTGGTAGAAATGCTTACGTAGATACATACAGTATAACCTGATATCATCAATGACTGGTGTCAGGTTGTCACACTTTCCCCAAGAATTTAATGTTTACATTCGTAGAGCTTGTTTTTCTGAAGAGATGACCACGTCGCCAAATGCGCCTTTCCTTATCAATGACAAATATATTTTTCCATCAATATGCCAAAGAGGTTCATTTCTCAAACAAAACAATACTTTTTTTTCATACCTTACTTTAAAGGGTTAGTTAAGGTTTTTTAAAGCGGGGCTGTATAAGATGCTCGTCCACACAGTAGATGGCGTCAGCTCGCCCCCAGTTTGAAGAACCAGACAGGAGTAACAACACAGAAGCAAAGCAATGTACAGGCGTTCAAAATCATTTTCACCGCTTAACCTTGCCATCAGAGAGTCCCTTCCAGCAGGAAATTGAATCCGTATATCCATCTAAGCTCTCTTCAAAGCCACTAGACTCCTTTGACAAAAAACAGTGATTTTACCTCACAGAACACAGAAGGAGTTTCTGGTCCAGGGCTGCCTTGATTAAGTGACTTTGGTGTTTAGTTCGTTCAGATCCAAACTACCGTGTTAAAACACCAAAGTGATCCAAGAATAACTAAACAATGCCAGCTTTTTAGTACTTTTAATAATATTTTGATCGGTTCTCACAAAGGGTTCAGGGACTGATGCACAGCCATGCAGAAAGTGATCAGAAAGCTGCATAAGATGTTTACATGCTACAGCATCTTCATTTCTTTCAGAACAACTCAACCAAAATATCTGGCTTTCTAAAAGCAAGGGTAAGGGATTATCCAGGCTCCCGTAACCATAGGATCTTCATTCGCACTGTAACACGAATGGGATATCCCAAAAACCCCAGTCTGTGTACATGTAAACATGCTCCCTAAACCTCTCAGTTGAGGGAAAACGCAGGGATCAGACGTCTGGCTCAAGGACACTTGAAGCAGTTTAACAGTCAAAAACCCACCAGCCCTGATGCCCATGTTTTCAGCTTTCTGCTTGCCCACTTTCAGCATCTCCTTGTTGATGTCACAGACCACAGCTCTGGATTCCTGGGGCCGGTCCTCGTCCTCTGTGGAGTAGTTAATGGAAATGTCCTGCCACGATGGCGTCTTCATGGACCTCGCCACCCGCCGCTTCTGCCGCTCCTGCTGAGAACGAATGTACTCCAGGAAACGGAAGGCAATGTCACCTGCGGGTGAGGGTCATCACATACAAAAGAGAAGTGTGACACCAGTGGGGGTTTCAGTTTAATGTTTTGCAGAGGTGCACACAAACAGCTTTACCTGTTCCACCCGCCACATCCAGGAGTCGCACCCCGGCCTGCGGGTGCATGGCGTGCAGCAGCATGTCCTTCCACACTCGATGAATTCCCAGACTCATGGCATCGTTCATAATGTCATACTTCTGCGCCACATTCTCAAACACCTTATACACTGAAGAAGCAAAGAGAAAGAGAGTCTGTCTCACTGGGGGCTGTTTAGGGTGCATTTTATGTTTTTACTCTTCTATATGCACGTATATACACATACTCAGATATTCTTTTGCACTCTCATCATGCACCAATATACTTTAGAGACAATCTGTGTTGTAATCCTGTGCAGCACTCCGCAACTTTTAGTAAGTGATCTATATAAAATGTATTAGTTAAATGTCATAAAATCTATAATGGTATAAGTGCAGGGAATTGTTTTATATTACTACCATTAAATTATAACAGACACCACTCTGATGAAGGAAGGTGTCTGCATGTTCGTGACAAATGCTACACATTTACTGGGCTAAATATCAACCAACACACAAGTAAACAACAGGATATAATTTATTTATTTGGAAAAAACATCAGTTTGGGAACAATGCACAGAATATGCCGCATGCATATTGTTGTCTCAAATGGTTTGTGTTGTGCCTGTGTTCTACAGAATCGATCAAAAAAAATATAGTCAAATTATATTAATTTGCTATACCCATGAAAACAGCACTGCAAGTAGCCTACAACATGATTTAAAACGTTATACTAATAACCACTTTTAAATTCGGCACATAGAAAAACAACTCATTTCTGTACGATTCCTACTTTAGTTTTAAAAATACATATTGCACATCGGACGGGATCACCTTTACAACTTTAGAGGTTTTACTGAACAGGAGCGTCACTTCATGGGCTTTCATTTCCAGCAAATCCTCACGATCCCAAAAGAGACTCGGATCCCGTCCCTCAGGGTGTGTAACGTTAACATTTGCAAAGAGGCAGCGAGCACAGGACAACAAAACGCATCTGCTGTGACTCACCTCTCTTCGCCTTCTCTGTCTCTGGCACCGTTTCGAAACCAAAATGTGTGCTCCTGTCTCCGGCTGCATCGCTGTAACAACGACAGGACGACGGTTCCCAGCAGCAGCCGGACCGAGCTGAAACTCCAGCAGCGGCAACCTTAACATGTCTATGAGAAAGACGGATCGCCCTCCGGACCAGCAGTCTCATGGATGCGGCCATGTTGGCTGATTAAACAACTGCGCGACTGTCTGTCGTCACTCACAGGCGACGGTAACAACTTCACACTTCAGAGACAGCCTGTGGGTGGTGCAGTATTGTTATTTGTAATGTAGAGGACATATTAAATCAACTTTAGGGTCATTTTGCTGTTACTGCGTTATGCTTTTCATAATGTTATGTTTTGTCCACCGCAGTTTAAATCAGTGAGGTTGGATAAAATATTATAGCTTTCGTGAAGGTGGGATTTATGGGTATTGATTATGGTTTGGAAGTGTGCATTTACTTGATAACCATGATATCGATAATAAAATCATGTAACTTTCAAAATGACAATTAGGGAGCAATTTGGTGTTCAGCTTCTTACTCAAGGGCTTCAGTGAGCAGGAACCTAAAAACTGCACAATCAATGGTCAACCAGGTCTAATCTTTATAAAGATTTTTAACAGAGAAAAGCTGCAAGTACTTCTCACATTTGAGAAGCTGGTGACAGTCGAAAAGTTTTATTGCATGCAAAAAAAAAAGTTTGATTTAAATGATACAATTGTCTAAATGCTTCTTGATTATTTTCAGCACTAATCAACTGTCCTGAAGGCAGAGGGAAAAAGTAGTATATATAAACAGCTTTCAGCAGCATAAACCTACAATAATAGAAGGCAAATCTTGAGCATGAAACAGGCCAATGCATGTACTCAAAAGCACTGAAGGGCATGAGAGTGCTTTAATTGCACCAGGGTCATTGACAATATTGCAGAGCGAGGTGGATCAAAACAGACAAGTTCCTACACAGCCAGTAAACCTCTTACACACACTTCTTTTCCAGATCTGTCAAGGGAGACAAGACCTTTTTTTTCTAACAGCACCTCTCTCCTAATATACCACACTTCCATACCCTGTGTGCAGAAGATGGCAGGGATTGTGGGTATTGTCTTCCATTCTTCTCACTTTCTTATTCTGACAGTAACCAGACCCTGCTATGTAGCCTATTGTCCCATTGTTGCCTCAATTACTGGTCGACTTGGGTTCTCTTTTCCTTGGCTATGAGAAGGTTTACCGGAGGCGGTGGGGGGGGGTCTGCAGGCCAAGGCTTTTCTACAGGGACTCAGAGGAGTCATGATGTATGCACAATTGCTATTGAGGGGAAAAAACATTTTGGGGTCAATAGGTCAATAGTAAAAGGCCACAAAGATTTGTATCTTATGTGGTTGTATGAATGACTGAACTTATAACAGAGGTCCTGCAAAACCTCAGCTGAGAAACCTTAGAATTTGTAATCAACTGTAACTTCAGTTAAAACATTCAAATAACATTATTGATAACAATTCTGGTTGCTAGTGTCTAATAACCATTATGTTAATACCCTAGCAAGCAAAAAGCAGATACCAGTGGTACCAAGCATCATTATTGGGTGTACTTTTGAGGAAATGTGGTCAGACATCATATCACCAGTAGAGGGGGTAAGATAATCATTTGCTGTTTCTCGTTTCCTCTGCTGGAATGTGTGTTTCTGATAAAAGATGAAACAATTGAATCTCCAAATAACCTGAGGCCAGTAATGAGTTTTATGGAGAGGCAGAGAGGGGCCGGCCATTAATGTAATTCTACTGTGTTTTTTACTATATATATATGGGTGACATTTTCGAATGGCAAAGGCGATGGTATAAATATCAAACTGGTCGCCATCAAAGGCCAGCTGCTCTGCATCCAAATAAATATATATATATATATATACATAAATATATATACATGGTGGCATTCTCATGTTCCTACAGTGTTGTCTGCCTGGTACCTATTGAAGCGGCCCCCTGACCTTCGTTTAGATAAAATAAATACATTTTATAATCAGTTTAGTTTGCAAAATTAAGGGGAGAATCTGGTGAAAAGGCATGTTAAGGTGGAGAGGCTTCTTTTTGCCATGTCTTTATACTTTTTGAGGTTTTATTTATTATTGAACTAGTGGAGGTACTTTGTTTGGAGTTAACTGAATAATAAATTATTTTGGGGTGGAACCTTGGTAAGTTAAAAAATATTACGTGTGTGTGTGTTTCTTTTTTTGTGTGTGTTGTTTTTGTGAGATTGAGAGCAACAGAGAAACTAGTGTGGTGGATTTGTGGTGCAAAACTGTTAAGCTTGTTGTGTAAAGGATAAGCCGGCACTACAGCTGATTTTATTCAAACTGTTGACAGTGAGGATGGTATTTTGCTGAGTTAAATGTTGTTTATAGATCAGTTCAGACCAGTGGCTTGCACTCTCCTTGGTACTACAGTGATGTTGGTGTTGGCAGATTATTGTTTGGATTATTGCCTCTTGTTTATTGGTGGTAAACTACATGTAAAGGCCAGTAACACTCTCTGGGTGTGGTGATCCCGGTGTGGGTGTTTCATGAATACTACTCTTTGGCTGCTGCGGCAGCACCTGTGACTGGCAGACAGATCAGGACACAGACTGTCAGTTCCCATCATAATATCATACTGATTGCCATTTAAGTTCCTACACTGTTATATGATCTGAAAAGTATAAGATAATGTTGGGTAAGCCTTGGTGTGATTGAATGTGGTATTTTAAGTGTTACAGTATTTTCAGTGTAAGTTACTAAACTGATCCACATATGTTCTAAGTCCAGACAGAGATTCTGTTTTATGCAGGGCGCCAATTTTGTTATGATTAAGTCTTTGCAATTTCTGTTCTGTTTATGAATAATATTACTGGTTATTATTTCCTGGGGAAGAGAACTCACAAACAAAGCCTCACCCCCCTTCTGCCAGTAGGTCTGTCACACCAGAAGTTCTTTATATTCTCTGATTCCTTTGTGACTTTTCATGTTTGAGAGCGTCAACAGGATAGAAATATTATTAAACAAGTTCTGCACAAGGTTTTTGCTGTAAAATGCAGTTCAGTCAGAAGCATCAGAGGTTCACAGGTTACTTGATTTGAGATTTTAGGAAGTGTTACTGAAAGTCCAAGACATTTTTCAGGAAACCTTTTTTGGACAAATTATCAGCCCTCATTTTTGAAAATGTACTTCCTTAGAAGCCTGTTTGGAAACATTCGCATTTTGCAACATTTTACAAGGTTATTTTGCTTCCCCGTGATGTGACAGTTGTCTTGCCAACAAATAGCATAACAAACAAAACCAGCCCTTAAACAGTTTCAGAGCAAGCTCTAGATGAAAGAAACACAGAAACACCTTTCATGAATTAAGAAATCATCGTTGCATTCATCCCAAGTGTTCCAGCTTATTACACGTCCTGCCATGTTTGTTTTTTCATGGTGTTCCAGTTGTAAAGCTGAACTCCTGCTGTTTCCCTCTAAAATGTGCAGGTTGCATGCTTGACCTCATCCTGGAGGGGATCCAATAGGTTACACATGGTACTCCACATTCTCCTTCAGTGTGTGTGTGCATCTCCAAACAGTCTGGGAGTCATTTCACAAAGCTGATAAGTATTTAGCTCCACAGAAAAAAAGGGGAGAAGGGGGTGCAGATGTCCCATCATGCAAACACTGAAGCCAGAATCTATTTTTTCAAATGGAATCTTTTCAAATGGAAAAGTGAATGGCATTACCTTGATCTGGTCTTTGGGGCTGTATGCTTTTCAGCCACGGGGGGAAGTAATATTCTGTACAATTATGAAATAAATGGTGGTTTAATTACAAGGATGGAACAAAGTTAAAGAACACGCACAACGCAAGCTTAAGAAACATGCATACAGTGTTTATTTTGCAACCAGGACACATTAAATAAAACTACAAAGGTACTTCACTTATACAAAAGATAGATTATATCCCATTCACATACAAAATAACAATAATTTACTGTATAAATTAAACATTTTACTATTCTGCTATTTACAATTTTGTGGAAACAATGTTTTGGCCACTCCAGATTACTTCCCACAGGGCTTCTGGTGTTTTCATGTCATCGAGCACTACAGGACATTCACATCAGCTACAGTTTTGGAAAAAGTTCCACCGCTTAGATGATAGCGTGGAATTTTCCGATTGACTGGAGAACAGGACAGAAAATGAGAGTTTGCATAATTCACCAGGCAATCTAAACAAATATGCCCTTGTTAGATTTTAACTGTCAGATTTTGTTAGTTTTTGTTTGATTTGAACGCACATTAATTTCCCATCGCTCTCTCACATCCAAGCTCTCTTTCCTCCCTCTCTCTACGCATGGTCTGCTCTGAACATCACAGACCCAGGGGCATGTGCTCTTGTCTTGCAATAATTAACATGAGTTACACTTGAGCAGACAGGCAGAATATAGCACAGTCACATTTTTAAAAATCTCTGATTGTGAAAGAAAGGTTCTTCATCTTTTTTTATGGGCCTCAAATTCTGTCTGATTCTTGGAAAACTATAAATCTTTTGACTGTAATGACACAGGGAGCCTGCACCGTATAAAATATAACCTTTTGTCTCAAGTGCTCAGGTTGCTGCACAAAGTTCATTTTAGCTCTTTTCTTTTATCTGAAACTAAATGCAAAAGTGAGTAAGTACCATTTCATCTTGTAAGTAGAAGCAAATTTAAGTGCATTGACGTTTCAAACCTCTTCTTTGTTTCTCCTGTCATGTGATCAGATGATTTTTAGTGTGACCATCTGCAGAAACCTCCGCTATAATTCAGTCCCACGACAGGAAAGTCCACTTACTATGCATATGGCAAACTGGTAGATTTTGACCTTTCACAAGTAGTTTAAATGTCACGGCAATGCACGGAAAACCGTCACAGCTGCAAACCTGCTGTCAGCTTGTGCAGAATACCATTGAGTGCTTCTGGATATATTTTCTGTCTTCGTATATTTCTTGCGCTCAACCTTTTGGCCTAAAATCAAGGTGACAAGTAAAAGCTTCTAGGTCTGCAGCGTCTTGTAGAATTTAGGCAATTTACTGCTGTCTAAGGAGAGAAAAAATGCGTTCCACCTTTCAGCTAAGTTGATGAGTAAGAACAAAAAGCACTTCTCTCAAGTGCTTTTCCGAGACACACAATGAAAGAGCGGACATAAATATCATTCCCACACTGAATTACATAATATACAACAATATCCATCCCCCTCTGTAATCAAAAGACAACTTAATGTGAACAATATGTTCAGTAAATGTCCAAGACTGCACATAAGAGCACACACAGAGATTAAAAACAAACATTTTTTAAAGCATTATCAGTAACTACATGAAGAGCTCTAATCCAAAAGGCTATGTGTTCATTTTGGAAAAAAAAATATCATCAAATGTCCATCATGTAACAAAAATGTAAAAGATCCAGTCTGGAGAGGTGTTCAGTTGAGTGTACTATGTGTAAAAAGACTAATACTTAATGCTTCCAATCACTGTACAAGATGTGGCGTCATTTTCTACTTTACATTTAAGTGGTGAAAATCCTATTTTGGACTGAAACTCTTCACATCCACACTGATTTTAAAGCCGTGCAGCCTCTTGTGAGGGACCCCAGACTGCTTCGTGAAAGAAACAGATGTGAGGAATCTGAGACGAGGGAAAAGGAGATCCTTAAGGCACTTGAACATCATCAAACCGGAAAGACTCCCACCCACAACCGAGCAGAAAAAGCCCTCAGATCTTCCCAAGCCTCCCTAAATGGCAGTTTGTCTGCAAACTGCGCCAACCAACCCACCCCCCCCAGTGAACGACGGTACTTCTTCTCCCCGCCCAAATCCACATGAGTGCTGAGTGAACGAGTGGGCGAGAGTGCTCTCTTTCTCTGTGATCTTTTCATTTTACGGCGAGTGATTCATTTTCAAAGTGCTGTGATATCCACCTTCCGTGTGACGTTTCCATGTCCTTTGCCACCTCAGAAAGCTAGTTTGCACGTAAAACACATCAAAAAGAAACTTTGCATATGGAATCAAAGTGACAAATAAATACACACAACTCTTTGGATGGGAGGATTCTGGTTTTTGGCTGCAAGTGTTCATTGTCCATATGAGGCAGTTAGAAGAGTTATACAAAACTGTTAAGTGTTACAGCACGTGTGTGTGCGTGTGTATCAAAGACCTCATCCTCTCCTTGATACTCATGAAGATTTCGGTTACCACTGTGACTGAAGCACCAGGAAGAGGCAAACTAAACTGAAACCAGACAGTGAAGTTGCTGCGTTTCACTGGTAAACCTGTAGTCTGGAATGGAGTTTTGGAGGTATGTTGATTGTTAGGGACGTCCGTGGTGTGATGGAGATAGAGCCTCGCAGGACCAGAGAAGCTTCCCGCATGTTAAAAGTGTCCTTGAATCTTTCAGAGCTGCAGATCTTCCTCCATCTAATCCTTCGCTCTCCTCTCCCACAGTGAGGTCACTGACAGCCCTGCCTGTCCCCCTCCTCTTTGGTGCTGAGCAGGATGGGAGGGTCCAGCCACTTCAGCCCAAGGGGCCATTTAGTAGCAGTCACTCATCAGTTGTCATTAGCCAATCAGTTGTTGGCTTGTTAGCGTAGCGCCTCATAGAGTTTCATTTTCTGAGGGTCTGGCATCTGATGGCCCTAGTACAGAGTAGTTGTGGGTTGGCGGTAGCGTTTGGTTAACGGTGGAGCGCAGCAGTGGTGCTAGTTACCCACCAGGGGGCTGAGGTCGCCATGGTGGTTCTTTAGCTTCTTCTTGAAGAGGGAGATGGTGGAGGGTCGGTACAGGATGATCCAAGGCTCGGAGGACGCCGTGCTCTGGCTGCAGCTGTCTGAACCGCTGACTGCTGGAATATTCTGGGATCTGAGAGGGAAAAGGGACAAGAAAGGCAGAGAAGATTTTTTTAATTAATTTCGGAAGCCATGAGGGGAATCTGAATTTCCTTTGTGTAGGATTTGAACATTTCTGCCTTTGGTGACGTTTTATGGTTGTATCAAAAAAGACACTGTGGCAGACAGGAATGCACCGATGAACTGGCAGAACGCAACTTGAAGAATGCTTTCATTTTCAACTGGGATTGTCCCAAGTTTGTCAGATGCTACGATCAGATAAAACGTCAACACATTGGGACAATAAAAATAAATGTTTCTTTCATCTATTTCTAATATGACATGAATGAAACGGCTGAATGCTTTGACATTTTATGCTTGGTTGATCATACACACCTCCAACATGCTCATACTTACTTGACTGTAATATGCAGCAATAGCTTTGCCACCATTGCTATGACTGTCAGTATGAGGAGAGCAGCCAGAGCGTAAATGGTCCACACTGCAGAGAGGGAACAACACAGTAACAAGACATCAGACATCGAATCGTGGTAATGAAAACAAACTGAAGCAGATTGAAAGGATTAGCTAGAGAATTATTCAAGCACTGCTGGCGCACCTGTTAGCAGTGTTCAGTCAGCCAATTGTCAAGAAATTGTGACGCATTATTATTGCACATCTGTTTTCTTCTGGTTGAGAAATACATCCGATAGCCCTTTGAGACAGACTGCTCAGATTGAAGAGTAATATTTGAAGGAAGTATAAAAGAACAGAATGCGTCAGTCCACCCTGCGTAGCTTTGACAAGAGGCCTGATTGGTGTGATCAGCAGGGAGAACTAAAGTAACTTCAGCTATGAGTCACTGACAGGAAAAAACAAGCGTCATGAAGTATTAAATCTATGTATGATCATAGAGAGTCACTCTAGGCCGAAGCTTCCAGAAGCCTCTCATCAAACTAAGATGATTTTAATACTGTCAGAGAAACCAGGTCATGCTAAATGGGGGCTCTAACCAAGAAAGCTCCCACAGCATCCCTGCAGAGGTAGAGAGAGGTGCAGTGGGTGCAGTACATGATGGGTGTTAACATACTAGCGCTGTGTCCAGTGGTCTCGCCGCGTCCAGCCCACTGACCTGGCATGTTGTGCTCCGGTTTACCGGGGCTGGACGTGATCACGTAGAGAATCTGGGAGGAACGTCCTTTAGAGGTGCTGTTGGATCTCTCTGTGACGCCGCCAGCAAGCTGGGGCCCCGCCGTGCTTGGGATGTCCTTTCCTTCATCCTCATCATTTCCTTCAGCCTCCATTGTTCTGGTGTCTTGGCTTCTCAGTGCTGGGCAAACAAGAATAAGAACTGATTTAGACAGGTTCATGTGTGTTTTAGAAGAGGACGAGAGACATGCATGCAATTCTCTGCGAGTCGGCGTGCATGCACAACTCTGCACAAGGCCGGTGAATTGCAGACGAGCAGAGCAGAGAGAAAACGGTCATCAATAAGCCTCAGTGTACATGGAAATCTACAGTGTAAGTTACAGCTCTGACTAGTGAATAGAGACTGCAGCTCTGCAGCTTCTCAAGATTAAAGCGGATCATTTTAAATATGATTTTGATTGTGATAAATATACAGTATCTTCATAGGGAAAAATATCCCTTATAAATATACTGTATTTCATATACTGTACTTAAAGCGGCAAAAACAAGCTGTGAACACAACACTGACATACTTTCGCCATTATAAAGTTGAAACTTGTTAGCAAACACTTGCTTATTTTACACATTCAGCAGGTACGGAGCAACATAATCTTTCATTTGGAGTCATGTTTCAGGCCTCCTAGCAATTGTAAGTCCAATATTCACTCTCCTTTTAGGTCTGCTTTTGGTCTCCTGGGGAAATAATTGTCTCTTTAGCAGAGTCATGCTCCATTATGTTACCCAGCTAACTGCTAACTTATTTCGCTGAGCTTACAGTGATTTTGTAGAGCTTTTTTTATGACTTTAAATTTACAAGATGCTTTTATATTTGTCAGTAATAACAAAACAAACAACAACACTGTTGTTAAGCACTATCACATTCACCTATATTACAATCTCTGAAAATTGTGGAGAGTAAAGTTAGTCTTTGTATCTTCTGCAATGTGGCCTATCACAACTTGAAAATGTGACTATGTTTAAGTATTATAGGCTTTCCTGGCTCCCATTTAGAGTAGTGGTAAGTCCTGTGCCAGAGACACAGAAGAGGAAAAGCTCTGCCATGTTGTTGTAATTTCTACAAGTTGAGGACATAGATCACTCAGTGCCCCTTTAATTATCCCTGTGCGTAAACTGGGATGTGGCAGCAAGCAGGCAGAAATAGGATACATCATGTTGATTGTGTTGTGGAAAATATATACAGAAGAATCACGAGTGAATATTCGATACTAACAACATTTGAAGAAACAGATCAATTTTGGAAGAAAACTTAAGCGTGTAAACATGCGGTGTCCGCTGCAGACATGATTCAAAAAGTGTTTGCAATAAATTCTGTTTGTTTTAACCTGCTTACAGCACCAGATGGGCAGAGTTTGCTTCATAAAACATGAGTGCTAGAGAGCGTGGACTATTTCAACTCATTTATGTGTTCCCAGAGGAAAGCAATAACCTAAATAACATTGCCTCTGCCTTTCATGTACTTCTCCTAAAACAGAAAAGTGATTTATTTAAAATCACTGTGTGATTTTCCTTCTTCCTACTTCTGAAACACTGCTGGTGAGAAACAAACTGTGGAATGTCTTAAGATGATATTTATGTGTTTCACTTGACTCTTTAATTATTTTTTCTACATCAATTTGCAGTGAGGTTTGGTCAAGAGAAACATCTATCAGCAATCTGTGATTGCAGTCATCTACAAATGTGATTTGCTTTTCTTATTTGCCTCAGACACATCTTACAAAGAATGTAGTAGTATGTCTCTTTTAATTGCTCCTAAGTGGGTAGCAAAATGAAATAATAAGACATTGGTGGTTCCAATTAATATAATTATAAGCTTGGGGACATATTGACAAAACATCCTAAGTAGCTCCTAATTAGCTGTGTTGCTCAAAAGTTGCTAAAAGAGAGCAGTAGAGATGACCTGCTCACGATCATTAATGTTTTGGGAAAATACAAGTATAATAAACTTTTTTTAAGGAATTTTGAAAGATCCAGTCAGCTCACGAACATACCATACAACAATACCGCTGAACATGATGGTTTACACTGGAAAAATGCAGCTTGCTGCTCTGATGAGCTATCTCAGCCAACTGTCAGAATTATTAATAAAACTTAAAATTTGCTTTTCAAACCCCAATTTGTTCAACAGTTCATTAAATAATCACCAACTGCAACAAATACATAAATTATTTTATGGCCACTGTTAGATGCTATATGTCGAATTACCACATCAAAGTATGATGCAGATACAATATACTTAACAAGTCAATATTTTACTTTGTTTATGTATGAAATATGTGAGGCAGTTTATAAAAGTCTGATATATTTTCTATGAAATCTAATTTTTATTTAATTTGTATTAAAGTGGTCATATTATGCTCATATTCAGGTTCATAATCTTATTTAGGGGTTGTACTAGAACAGGTTTACATGGTTTCATTTTCAAAAAAACACCATATTTTTGTCATACTGCAGCTGCAACTGCTGCAGCTCCTCTTTTCACCCTGTGTCTTAAAGGCTTCGCTTTAGCTATGGAGTGATACATCTCTTTTTGTTGGGAGTTGCACATACTAGGTAAGGAACTTCGCATACTAGCCAATCAGAAGCAGAGTAGGGCGGATCATGAGAAGCGGGTAAACACGGCTTCGGTTCAGCTGTAGCTTAGCAACAGACTAGAGCAAGAGTTTCAGAGTGGTGAGTTATTAATCTGTAACAAAAGTATCTTTCATCCATAAAGTTTTAACTGAGCTCTGTCTCTACATCACAGTAACAACTTTCTGTCCGTTGACTACCTGGAGGGTAGCTAGTGTTTGGAAGGGAGAGGAGAGGCAGCAGGAGGACGTCTTGTCACTGTGTGCTGCAGCTCAGTGTGTTTTTCGCACATTTCGCTGTGTTGTCACAGGAATCAAAGGGCAACGGCTGGACTACAAACGAGCTGTTTTCAGGCAGTTCAGAGCAGAGTTTTCTGTGGGAGATGGGAACTCACTTTGGGGTGGACTTTGGGCTTTTTCACTTTGCAAACATATTACATGCACAAAAAGATATATAAATCAATAAAGGAGAGGGAAAAAGCCAAAAAGCATAATACTACCTCTTTAAGATTTTCTTTCATATTCACTGACACACACTGGTCAAACAAGTTCAGTCATCATTCGTGGTAAGATGAGATAGTTAGAACGACTGACAAGCTAAACTCTAAATGGTAAGCCCGTAAGCCCCACCCACCTTGTGTTAAATCCCCCTGAACTGCTAAATACTATCTGATCCATGCCTGTTCCACTCTTCAATGAATGGTAGCTGAATGTTAAAGCAGTGTTGGATTTTTTTTCTTTTCATAGCTCAACCTGACTGTGATGTTCCCAGACTTCCCTATTTGCAAACAAAATACCATGCTTGACACCCGGGCTCAGCTGAAACGCTCCATCATCATCTGAAAGCATTTATCCCAAAATTACCGTTTTGATCGCGCAGCGTGCGAGATATTGGATATATTTAGTGGTGGTACTCAGTTTAACTGTTGTCTTTCTCTTTCAGTTTCTGTTTTTTTATTTCTCTCTACCTGAGTCGATATGTATTGTTATCTCTATCTTTCTGTGAAAAAGCTATTACTTTAGGAGGTGACCTTTTCTTATATGTCTCGGATTCCATTTCTTGGCTACATGACGCCTAATGCAAAACAAGAACCAAGACGTGAGCAGAAAGGATCGTGCCTGTCCAGAGGTCAGAGGATTTCGACCTTTGAATATTGTTTTTACTGTAACGCCACCAGGAAAGAAAAATGACAAATGGAGGCAGAGAGGAAGGAGCAGGGACAGATTGCCTCCCAGTGTACTGAGCTTGAATGTCACCTACACTGAATTATATCAGGTTGTGTTTCTCTCATGCCTCCAGAAATTTATCTATTAAATCATTTTGGTGCATTCAGACTGTTCACACAGAGACTCATTCTGAGAGAACATAATGTGAAAATAACAGAAGACAGCTTTTTATTTTATCACATATGTCTAGCGGGATAAACAATTTTTTGCTGCAAAGTCTTCAACTTCCTGTCAACTATAGTTCCCCAGCTATATGTCTGCTCTACAGTGAAATCATGCTATCAGAAGGCGCGATACATAGTACTGCACTATTTTGTATGTAGGTGGCACAAAAACTCGCTTTGCAATTCACCAAGGAACACACTCTGGAGAAGCAAAGCAGCCTGCCGCAGCTTGATAAGAGAGTGAGTTCCTAGAAAAACAAAACATTATTTAAATATGCAGTATCACCTGGGGCAGTGAGACATTGACTAGCAAATGAAAAGAGAAAAGGACCTGCCAGTGGCGTGACAACTGCCTCACCAGAGCTAACAGACATTAGTCTACAAAACAAGGGTTGCCATGCAAAACTCTATCATGGAGCCAGCAAGTCAGCACGCACCAGATTATGCAAATGTGGCTCTTGGTGGGTTTAAGGGGGTACTTTAGGTCAGGATGTTTGCTAGAACTCAAACCAAACATTAGAAGTAATAGTCTGGCAGGGGCATTGACACTTCTTATAAAAACATTCTTCTTTCAACTGCTACATACTTTTTCACCAGAAATATAAAAAAGCAAGTGATATCCCACCTTGGTAGAGCAGGGCAAATCCCTGGGCCTGGTTGGTGCGGTCTGAGTAGAAGTACAGTATGACAAAGTCGCCTGTGATGTTCACTAGCTCCCGCGGCGGGCTGCGCCAGTCGAAGCGTGCCACCACCTGGTTGGTGTAGCCGTCCAGTAGCTCCACCATGTCTGTCTGGTCGGAGATGTCAAAGAAGGTGAAGTTGAAGAGGATGGCGAAGGATCCAGGAACCTGTATAGTCCAGTAGCAAACACGGCCAGCCCCGTACTTGTCGGGGAAATCAGGGGAGTAGATCACTCCCGATGGAGAAGAATAGTTCCCACCGCAGGCCCCCACTCGGGCTGGAGGAGAGAGAGCAGAAACAGGAGAATAGTTAGTGCTATTTGCCATAAAAGCTTATTGGATTATTTGTGGTCTCTTCAGTACCTTGGTAACAGACACCATGTTACATGATTTCATGGTAATGAATGAGGGTGCACCAATGTGACATACCGGATCGGCCTAACTTTATTAAGTGGATGAAGTATGAGCCATGACGTGACTGATCCAGTTTCTTTGTCAATGTTGTCATAAAATTCAGTATTTCCGCTATCCATTACATTCCTTTGGTCACAGCTGGGCACCGACTTAGCTTTTAGTGCCAGGAATGGCTGACCTCATACTTTCATATGATATGCAGTGAGGTATTTTAAAGAGATTTTAAATTTGGGGTAAAGAGAGGCACTCAATATATATGGTAAGTACCCTGAGTTAAGGTATCAGAATTGGTACTAGGAGAGGAAAAGTTGGATTAGTACATAATGAAGTTCTTTAAACTTTCCAAAAAGTTGTTTAGTACAACTCTATATTGAAAAGTATAGCTTTAGGTGTTAATGTCCAGTAGTGTAGGAGGTCTGATCACAGTTGCTTTGAGGAAAGGAAATTTACTACTCTGCCTTCTGGAGGTGAACTGTAGACTAATTCAACAATATTCAACAAAAGCAATGACAGACTCATTACCACCTTAGATTTATACAAACTGCAGGCACTAACATAAAGAGCATCAAGTGGTTTAAACACAGACAAAGATGTGTTTGTAAAAGTGCAGTATCTTATATTACTTGTGTCAGACCCAGAGTGACACTAGTTAATAACACTCACTGTCGAAGATGATGACCCAGCCGTCTCCACCGCAGGGCTGGGTGTGGTCACCGAAACAAACATGGTTGCACTCCATGCTAGGCGACTCGCCGTGGTCATGTGGGTCCACTTCGTTGCCACAGAAACAGGCATATCCTGACTCCATTCCAGCAAGCTGCAAAACACAAAAGGAGTTATGCAAATGACTGCTTCAGCAATTCAAAACAAACCTTTCCCATAATGCTGCTCATTATAAATCCATTTGACATGGATGCCAGCGAGGAAAACACTGAGGGAGTCATTCCAACAAACGTTGTGGACGAAACAAGAAGATTTTGACTATTCTTTCTACAACATTCAAAATGGCTACTTTTTCAATAACATTATACATGATTACATCACAACTATGCATAAAAAATAATTTTGCAAATTCACAACACATTCAAATAAAAATAGTTTTATATGTTGTGTTTCTTAAATCAGCTTTATGTGAAATTGGGTTAACAGTAAACAGTTCACTGCATGGAACTCTTTGAAATTAAACTGACTTGAGTCTAAAGTACCCTAATTATTCTTTCTCTCATGGTTTCAAGATGCTGAAATCTGAGTCTGGACAACCACAACCTCTCAGCTGATTAGAAGCCTCCTTTCAAACACACAGCTGCACAGAGGGTGAAGAGAATAAACCTTACAAAAATAGCACCTATCTATCTTTCAAACCCAAACTGTAAACTGTTCCTGAAAGCATCGGAGCAGGAATGCGAAACTTAAAAAACCTTCACACATCGTGACCTCGCCACCACTGGCCGCTTGTTCTCAAAAGAGCTATTGTCCTTCACTCAAAAGGACACCATTGTCCACTTTTCAGACCCTGAATGAATTCACACAACTGAAGGTACTGCATCCTCTCCCACTCTGCTTCTTTCCTCATGGAATAGGAATTTATCAAGCCTCTGCTCTCGCCAAGATGTTTCACACAACGTCCTTGTTGCATTAATCTATCTGATGAACTAACACCAACGTGAATACTTCTGGTGGAGTAAACAAGAGATGGATCGCTGTCCAAGTCATCAGGCATGCTCTTTGTCAAACAGTCACACGGGATCTGTGCTTCAGAGCACTGAAGTTTCACATGCCCATTAAGGACAGTGACAGTCCAAGGGTAGGCAGACGATGCCAATCTGCCGCCACATCCTGTAACATCTGCTGAACTGAGAGGGGAGGGGGGAGCTGTCAGTATCTGTCAATGCAGACGGGGCTGAACTGGATCTGCTGAGACAGAAAATGAACACCTGGCACTGTTTATAGCTGGGACAATCACATACCAGACTCAGAGATGAGGAAAACGTATCGAAGAGGAGGTGCCCACTGGGCTAATAACCGTTCATTTCCAGCTGCCAGCCTTGATTGCTGTGATGATTTGTCATCCGCTGGTTGGTTTGAAACAGGAGGTTTGATGGCTGAATAAAGAGGGTATAGACTGCACTGGGCACGATGGTAGCGACAGTCAGGAAACTGTCCGTAAATGCAAATGATTTACATAAAAGCTTGAGACAGCTTGTGTCTATTTTAGACATGCCACAGGCAATTGACTGGACACTTTTTGATCCACTTGGGGGGGGGGGGGGGGGGGGCACATTTGAACTTTCTAGTATGAGTGCCAGGATAAAGGATACAATATAGACATTTGAGTTATTAATGTTTTAAAGTGTTCTCCTACAGAAGCCAGCCCTTAATTCAAGTTAAATATAATGCTGGACATCTCTTGGTTTACATGTTTTCTTTTTATCTGATACATTTCTCCTTCACTACTGTATCTTACCTTGTACCTCTGCTTCCTACAGAAGCTAATACAGTTCTGTATGGTGAGTTTGTTGGAGGTCTCGCTCGTCCCGGACAGAGTGGGTGGGTCACCGCTGTCTTTGAAGCAGCCCAAGTTCCCAGGCACTGTAGGGATGAAAAAACGATCAGTTACACACAACTACTTAGATGCACTCTGTATCACATGGTGACTATTAGCATTTCCTGTACAAATATCAGGGGTGTTTTTCATTATTAGATTGTTATATTCAGGTTTCCTTCTAGATCCATTGCAGGGATCACTCCCTGTTTTGTATTTTATGAAACATGCCTTGAACCCTTATGTGTCTCAAAGCTTCCTCTAAGTGGTTCAAGTTTTAAAAACATGTTTGTGATTAACACTTTGACTCATAGACCCGCCCCCAAAAAGAACAAGCTATAGTGACACACTCAGTAAGTATTTAGTCCTCTGTATGAATGTTTTGGTGTGACTTGCCAACAGAAAAGTCAACTATTTGGCCTCTGAAGAAAACAGGAGAAGAAGAGAAGGTGGAGGGAGGGGAGAGAGGGACAGGGATGTTTGAGTCATGGCGAAAGAGAGCTGGAATCTAGAAAATGTACCCTGTGTGATGTGAGAGCAAGTTGTATCAGATTAGGGATATAACGTGTTCTACGTGTGACTGTGTGTGTGTGTGTGTGTGTGTGTGTGTGTGTGTGTGTGTGTGTGTGTGTGTGTGTGTGTGTGTGTGTGTGTGTGTGTGATGAGGGGTTTTATGAGCCAAGAAATAGAAAATGTTTGTTATATAGCGACTTTTCCATCTGGAACATCTGGAAGGAGGCCAAGTCCAACACCGTAGGTCTACATTAAACACAGCTTCAATTTTAACCCATAAGAGAACCAGAGTGATGTTAGAGCATAAGCAAAAATTTGTGCTACAAAGTTTTCGTGTTTCTGCTACCTGAGACGTATTTTGGTCGAGCTTTCATAAAACAATGAACGCAACAACCACATACAACTTCCACATCTCAATTTTCCTTTCACTTTTTTGACTGTTGCTGCAGCCCAATCATATGAAATACTATTGAACATTAAAATGTTTGTTAGGTGAAACCTGGGAATGTATGACACAAATAGGCCAACAATCACAGATGGATCACAGACAGATCACCTTCAAGTCAGACGAATCAGCCCGCCTATCTTAATCCACTGTGTATTCATCAAACATTCCAAAGCCTTTAAATTCAATGTAATAGCTCAGGAAGTGCCAACAAAGCCTCCAGCAGCTATATTCCACTTGTGATTAGTTTTTCACTGCGAAAACAGGCTTTCTCTTGAAGATGAAACACATTTGACAAACAGAAGTAAATGCACAATCTGAATCTCCACTGCAGTATGAAAAATCTCCCCTCCACAATGCTCTTCAATCTCATTTGAATTGGTGTCATCCGACCGATGGGTACAAAGAAGCTCATTAGGACAAGACATAAAAGACAAGAGCAAAGACTGTGTCCAAAATAGCTGCCAATGCTGCACTGAGACACAAAAATCAAAAGCATGTGACATTAGAAAGCACTCTTGTTCTTTATCAAACATATGCGATTTCCAAATTCATTTCAATCTTATAGTGCAAGTTAACTGAGGCACAAAGCATCTTTAATACAGAGCTCAAAGTGTGACAGATGGTTCCTCTTTTAAATTTAATTTCTTGCTGTCTTGTAAACTAAAAAGGACAAAAATTTTCAGCACGGGAAATCAAATCACGAGATAAACAGGTTAAATCTGATATTTTAATTTTGTACTGACCCTCCAATATTGGAATCGTGGAAATAGTTATTTTATTTTACTAAATACAAATATGTATGCAAATGCAATTTAGCAGAGAGTTCAGCCATGCAATTTCCCCACATTTCGATAAAAGAGAGCAAGACATTTATTTGATCATAAGCTAGATATTACACCGGAGCATGTCCTGTCTATTTGTGTGCAGCAACAGAGTCTTGCTTTGTGGATGCTGCAAAATCTGACAACAAGCTCAGAGACTGTGGAGCGGTTTGTCCCCTGATTCCACATACAAACACTGTCCTAGAACTGAACATCTCTGGAGCTTGCTGTTGTGTGTCCTCTCCTCTCAAACATTTGCATGTTGGAAGCTGCCTGCTCGTCTGATGACAGCAAGTTCCACCAGTGAACAACTGGCACCCAGTTGTTTGGCTGTAAGAAACACTTCATCCATTTTTACAAGCCTGTCACGATTCAGTTTCGAATATATGACTATTTTGCCAAAGAGGGGCATCACTCAAAACTGCCTTTACTTCATGAACCAAAGTAACCCAGAGAAAGATCACACACATGCATTGTCTTTGGCATGCCAGCTGTTGGCAACGCAAACTTTTTGGCTGGCACGAAAGCCCCCCTACACGCACAACACATGCTGCAGATTCTTTCTGTTTATGTAAGAATGAGGCACAAAAGCTTGTGACATGTTTCAGATTCCACGCAGAATGTCGTGCACAAGAACGACCGCCACAGAATGGAAAAGTGAAGAGGGGGAATGAAACAGCCTGGCAGAGAGAGGGCACTTCCCTGCATTTCACCCACGGTTGCTGACCGTAAAGTGACCGGCGAGATTTTGGCTGCTGTGCAGAACATCTGACAGATGACTCAACACTTGAAGACAAAGTCCTCAGACTCCCTCAGACCAGCAATACATCGCACATCTTCCTTTTTCAGCCACAAATACTTTAAAGCTTTATACATGGATTAATATGGTTGTTTGAATCATTTAGCAAGACCCCACAGCGCAGACTAGAATATTTTCAGGATGAGACAGGACAGCGCTGTAGCAGCAGTTTCTTTTTATCTGTCACTTAAGTATACACTGCATTGACCCCAGTGAAGTGTGCAGGAGGAGAGATCAGAAGAGAAGAGAGATAAACACCTGGTTGGGAACCAGCAACCTTCCTCCGAGCAAGGCAGGCAGGTACCACTTCAATGGAGCTTTTGAAACTCAGAGGAGAAAATGCTACTGCAGGGTTCAACAGCCAGATTAAAGGCAGCAGTGCTCCTTTTTCATTTTGCTTTGACAAGAAGATTGCAGACTACAGTCAATTTATCTGTCTTTGTCCTCTTCTCATCCCAGGGGCTGTGAAGCGCTGGCTGAGGAGCAGAAGGTGGTGGGATCGTATCACACCAGAGCATTGGATGTTTATATGGAACTGGAGAAGACGGCAGCCACTGCACTGCACCGTTTATCAAAAAAAAAAAGTGAAAAATTGTCCTTGCATGAAAATCCCTGAGCAAAGCATTGTTCCCTAAAACATCTGCTTTGCAGGCACAACAAGTGCAAATATCTCACATGCAAAAACATTCAACACACTTCAAAGCTCTCTGTGGAATTTAGACTTAACGAGCCAGAAGCTGAGAATGGAGGAAACTCAAGGTGCATAAATGCTCCAGTCAGCCCAGAGCAGACCTCTGAAAACCTTGGGAGATCACAGCGGGAGGGGGGACTGCCACAAAGTAAAAAAAAAAAAAACAGATGCAGAGAGCTAAACAAGGCCTGACTGCAGCCAGACTCATCACAACCTGGCAGCCTGCCGCATTAGCTCGGAAAAAAGCAGCCTTCCCACAATGCAACACAGGGCAAAGCAGACAGGAGGCAGCAGGCAAAACAACAAAGTTCATGGGTGTCTGTCTAGCAAGAAAAAGGAGACACCTCTGTTGATGCAGCAGACACAACAACAGTGTTGACCCAAAACACATCAGAGAGAGAAAGAGAAAAGAACAACACAGAGGGATGGAACATCAAACATGTGCAGCAGGCTTTGGCAATTGCACTTGGCAGGGAGCATGCAAGCAGGTTGATGAGCTTGTGGGGCAAACATGTTATTAAGGAAACATAATTACAGTTATACATTTCTACGCCATCTGGAGGGCAAAGAGCAAAATAAACCTACGGGAAAAATAGAAAAGACATTGAGAGCGAGAGAGAATTTTTAAAAAGTGTTTTCTTTTTAATGGGACCCCTGGTGTCTCTCTTTTTCAAAACAGATTTACTCTTAACAGTCAGACTCTGCTTTCTTTCTTGCATCCACCCAGAACAGCATGCCAGATATTTTCACTTAAAAGATGAGGTAAGGCCGAGAGACAGCGAGAGAGAGAATATGAAGCCTTAAGGAACAATGAACCTTTAAAGACTTTCCTTAATAATCACCGCTTAAACACTGCAGGATTTCGATAAAAAAGCTATACTCACTCGGTCCTAATCCTATAATCTATAAGAGAAGCCATGACACTGAAAAATGTAGATACAAGAGCAATAAAACTGAAAATACATTAGAGCTCAAAAAACAAACCTCAGTACTTTTCCTCCTCAGTACTCACTGAAATGTGTTGGAAACTAAGAAGTACAAATAAGTGGCACCAAATCTCCGCTCACATTCATAATCTTGTTTAGTTTTAAATTATTTATTTGTATACCAATTATACCAATGTCAGACAATATTTACCATTTGAGAACTTCCCTAAGGTAAGGTTATTACCTTCGTTATTATATCGACACAAGGATCAAAAAACTTCTAATGATACTAAGGGCTTACCAAACTAAATGCTGAAATAACATAGTATATATATAGTATATTTCTGATTCATAGCCACTGTACAATGAGCCAGTTCAACATAAAAATCATTGCAATGTACAAACAGGCTCCCCATTAGGCTGCACTGAACAGTCTCTAAACTTCAGTAAACGTTTCGTTCCTTCCTTCCTTCCTCCTTTTCCCCATTCACCTACACACATTTAAATTCATTCAGATTCATTATCTGGGCTAGTAACAATTATTCTAGTCAGGTGATTTTGTTTTATTTAGTTGCTTGTTTGTTGCTGCCTGAAGAATTCTGGACGTGGGAACATGAAAGATCAGTTTAAAGGGACTGACTGATAGCCCCCACACAGATCATACAACGATATCGCCACTGTGGCTTCACTGTGTAGGTGATGGCGTGGGGTTTCTATATGAATGATTACAGTCATGATGACATTTATGCCCCTTTTCCAGAATAACTTCTAACTCCTTCACATTCCCAATGTATTTCCTTTGCTGTATATCAAATTATTTGACATTTTAGCTACATTTCCTGATTTGTT